AGCACTTAAGAATACAATAAAATCACATAACTACAACAAGACAATATTCGACAAAAATAGAAAATGCCATGAATTCAACGTTGGGGATATGGTGTATGTGGAAAACGGAAATAAGCTCAATAGGAAAAAATTAGAAGAACTGAAAATTGGACCTTTCCGAATCATTGAACAGGTTTCAAAATCAATTTATAGAATTGACGTAGGACACAAGAAAATGGAATCGAACCTTTTCCATATCACAAAACTTATTCCAATACCAATGAAACAGGAAGAATCAAGCAGTGAAAAAGAAGGAATTGGGTTGTCTTAAAAGAAAATTTGCCCGTGGAAAATTTTCTTCCTGAGGGGGGGAGATGTAAAGAAAAAACATACTATTTCTTTAGTTTTATGTAGTCTATGCCATATTTTATCTGTAAACTCTATAATCTCTGGTAATTAAAAAAATAAGAATTTTGATGTGTAATGGTTTACAGAAAAGTAAAATGTGCTAATATTTAGAAAAGAAATTGTTAATTGTAATATAATAGAATTGAAGTTAAAACTGTAAAGGAATAAACTTTAAAAGTCGTTTCTTTGATTACAGGTAAATAGGCAATAAGATAAAGTTGTAATTTAGTTTATTTAATGTGTTCATGTTTTAAGAATAAATCTTTGATTACAGAGCAACGCAAGTTTATTTTCTTTATAGAAATCAGACTGAAAGAGTCTTATATACATATAGATTTGTCAACGCTAATATCATTATCACCATCAACAGCCTATAGTGGCTTCTGCTGACCAAAGGTCTCTAAAAGTTTGAGCATTCACCTCGCTTACTCAATGCGGGTTGGTGATTTCAAACTTATAATTAGAAATTATATGCCTTTCCTCACGATGTTTTCCTTCAACGTTTGTCAGTGGTGTCTAAATAGTCTTAGAAACTACATACATACCTATAATTCGGAAAAAGTCACATTGGTACTTTGCCGTCGGTAGGTTTCGAACCGTACCCTCGTGCATGAGAAGCGGGCGTCGTTTAGAAGATAATATTATTATAATTGATCTTTTTTGCATTGAATAGGCTATGAAATAATTGGACGGAGTTTAAAAAACCTTTTACCATTATAAACCTTACTTTTCAGACAGTAACATAATCTATTTTTATCTATATATATTAATATTATATTTTAAGGATCGAAATCAGAAAAAATGTTCTAAATTCGGGCGAGAGAGTCGCAGACGGAAAACGATCAGAGAAACAAATTGGTAATACACGAAACAATGTTTGTTCATAAATTTCGTTATTTCAATAACTTGTATAGGGCAACACCTCAAGTGTAACAGGTTCCTATTGCGAGCCATGAATCTATTGAGTATTGAGGTTTACAGCCTTTTTACGAGCAAACCGCCATTGTTTTACCGATATTTTGTACTTTACTATATTACAGTTATACTAAACAAACTTTTTGTTTCACTTGCCTATGAGAAATTGATTCATTATTATTGCTAGCTGATTGATTTGTCTTTATTGGGAATTACGTCGATGATTTCATTCAGGTCAGATTAAGTATTATCGGATCTTTTCGCCATTGTCTGTAGTTGGTAGTCTAGTAACTCAAAGGCGTTTGTGGCCAGATTCTTATATTATGGGGATAGGTATTTCACATAACTTGTATTGCAATAGGCTCACTCCCTATTACATGGGACTCATAACATAAATAGTGAATAGTGGGTGTTACATTGTACAGTGGCATAATGTACACCTCTGCCTACCCCATCGGGGATAAAAAGGCGTAATGTTATGTTATGTTGTATTGTAAAATTTTAAGCGTGCTCAAGCAACCTATTTTAATCATCTGCAACCAATGTTAAAGTATAATTTAATTATCAAAATCTATATTCAATCAAAACTAAACCAGTAGGGGCAAAACGTGGCATTTTTGGCCCCCCCACGCGCACTTACAATACTTTCGCTAACAAAGTGGTTCACAAAGTACGAAGTCTTTAATTAGCTATCCAGCTGGGTGTTCTCATAGCTTCACGCACGATACCGCGGCCAAACGTTAGTATTCCGTTCATTTGTATGACTAACATACATACATAATCATGCAGTGTTCTGTGTGGAATGACGACTTCGTTGACCTCTGAGCCTCTGACGGGTCGAGACATTTTTTGTTAGATGTCTTCTTCGATGGCTGTAGACTTTACAGTTTCTGCAGTGTGTAATTTATGTGTTTAGAAGTTAATGATCGCAGATTTTTGAAGTTAATGTGCATGTATTTTGCAAGAGACTTTGATCCTTAATGTCACTGCTTAAGAATATTATTACATAATTTAGACAGTTTTAGCTATCTCGTACAATAAAAGACTAAAAAGGTGCCTACAACATTTATAAAATGAACCCATTTAACAAAATAGATGTTCACAATCGATACAACAGAATACTTAATATCTATTAATTCGCAATCGGTAACCAGCAATCAGTGCGCTAATCTCGAATCGAAATGTTACCTAATAACCACGTAATGTAGGTAACCTATTGTTTCTGAACATAGCGGAGGCAATGATTGCAACAGCTGATATTTATCTGGTAAAAATCTCACGACTCGTGCAACTGCAAGGTCGAAGCAAATGTTGATGTGATCTAACCGGTTGTAATGCATCGTCCTGTTCTATACAACATGTTGACACGGCTTTCAAATAAATCAGTCGAGTGCATTCTAAGAATATTTGCACCCTTACTTGGAGAAAGATTACGGGACACTCTTTTGTCTGAATTTTTGTAAGGGATATCTCTTTGTGGTATTTCTTTTACCACGTGTTGCAGATGTGCATTGCATTATTACGGTATCTACAAAAAGTCGACGAATATCAACATCCGTTTTATGTGAAAATTGTGTTTAAATTCCTGATTGTAGGTTAATTCTAGAAAGGCGAACCTAATTAATCTAACTTGGTGTCGCAAACTCAGACCCTTGTCACCTGTCAGCTGTTGAGCTGAGCTTACTTAAGTTATGATAAAAACATTGAGTACAATTCGCAAAAACCGTAGATAACCTTTTATTAATTTTGAGGTCTAACAGCAGCTTATTATTTTAACACAAATAAATATTGACACTGCTATTCATCTCGACGCTGCGAGGTCGAGTTTGGTCAAGTCGGACAAGGCTAATAGAAATTTGTTTGAAATTCTCATGAATGGCCAACAATGTCAATGGCCCTAGCGCATTATCGCCATTATGGTGTTTTGTGTCTGAAACAAAGGCAACTTTCGTTTTTGGCCGTGTGATTTATTCAGACATAATTGGAGTAGCATTTTTTACAGATTGTGTAATTCTTGTGTAGTTTCTTTTTATTTGCGTGGCAACTATCAAATCGTTTGACATAAGTATTTGTATTGTAAATATTGCCTACATTTAACCTGATTTGAACAAAACAAACATGACACATCAGATAGGAATTCCATCATCATCAATAAAATTGCGTTGTTAGATGCGAGTTACACCTCACCTGCTTATAACATCGAGAACCGAACGGCTCTTGAATTAATAGCATAAACAAGAATGAGACATAATACGAACCTCACGTCTCTAGAGGCATTTGTATAACCTTAAGGAAATAAAGTGTAATAATCAAGAGGAATTATTCACGACGACAAACACTGACATCATACACAACGCGATTAGTGTGTCATGGGCAGAAATTACCCAAGTGTACCAGGACCCGTTACTGAATAGATAACAAAATGCAACGGTGCATTCAGAGCCCTCGTTTTCCAACTAGAGACACCGTGTCACCTCTTTCAGATATGTTAAACTCGTGACGAGCTTATGTCATGCGTGTATTAAGTGCCACCAAATTACCGTTGATTGCCGTGAGAAGCATGTGGAATTGTTTTTGTTGAATCTTGTATTCTTGAATGCGGTAGTCACGATACGATTCAAAGAATAGGAAGACGCAAATAGTAGTGCAGGCTGCGACAAAACTACAATAGGCTCAAGTTTCTTATTACAAGCTATTAGGGACTACATACTTCGGAAGCCGCATAAAACGCTTGAGTAAGAGTAATTTAATGCGTAGTGATAGCTGATACCGTATTGTACTTCCCATGTTCTAAATAGGGAGTTGTATTAAAAAACATGAATTGAACGTTAATTTTTGTGATCTTCGATCGTTGTTTGAATAGTTACGCAACGAACTCTACCCTTTGAGTTCGGCTTGCGACGAGGCGCTACTTAAACTAATTCCAGGAGTCGCTGTTACCCGCTCCCTTTGTTCCTTTTGTTATCTTATCTGGGACGGCTAAGCTCGGAAGCTTTATATATCTACTTTGAGTCATTATCTCGACGGAAAGCGTGATGGATTGCGGAAGGAAACATGTCGACGAGAAGTTATAGACGGACGAAAATCGATTAGTGAACGCCGTGCTGCGGATACATGGCGTCAGCAGCGGGTGATACAGTTTGATAGTTACATGTCAGCACGCCCACCGCTGTTATTGCGGCGGATACCGAGTGCGCAATTAATGCCAGGCGACAGCGTGCAGATGTGTGCACTTTCACCTCCGCCCTGTTCAAATGTATCGCGTGTGATACGACCCGCATAGTGTCGTAATGTCCCTCTGGGGATAGCGGCCGCTGGTAATTTATTACGCAGTTAACGGACCTGATGCATTGTGCTTATTAACTCGCTTAGACGAGTACTGCGGCCTTTTCGTGAGCGACGTTGAATGCACGTCTAAGGACGGTTTCTAAGCTCGCCGCGGCCTACATCGCTGTGGTTTCAGCAGCACGTACTGACATGGCTAGTGGACGTGACACTATCTACGCTTTCGCTGTCACTGTCTCACGTTTACTTAGCAGTTTTGTGTTAAATAGTTAGCAATGTATTAAGATGTTATGGGTGTGACGCCGGTGGGGCGGCGTCGCCGGTCGTCGCTCGGCATCGATCGCGCTGTTTGTAAACATTGCAGTTCGAGACACGCAGGGCAACTTGCGGGGTATCAAGTGTAAGGGACTCACCTGTACAGTTTGCACGTTGTCCTTGTCGAGCAGGAACTCCATGGACTTGTGAGGGCGAGGAGTGCGCTGGTCAGGAGGCGCGAGCGCGAGCAGCGAGCGTGCATGCAGCACGGTACGCTGAGTGTCCACATCGGTCTCCAGCACGCCGGCCGGCGGCGCGGGCGGCGGGCGCGGCCGTGGTGGCTTGTGCGCCACGCCGCCCGCCACCGGGGGTGCCGCCGCCCGCGACACACCCTCCTCCTTCAGCGGGATACGCACATACTGCGGCCCGGCGGCCGGCCCGCGCGGTCCCTGCCCCGCATCTGCCGCTGTTGCCGGACCGTTCGTAGAGGGTCGTATATTCGCGCCTGCGCCCCGTGTCTTTTTCTCTTTGCGCCCCGAGAATCTAAAGTTCGCGAATCGCGAAAGGAAGCCGGCGATGCGGCTGCGCGGCGCGCGCGCGCCCGCTTCCGTCATGGCGGCAGCGCGCTCTGCGGTCGGCGCGCGCGACTCCTCGCCTTCCCCCTCCACTACTACCACCTCGGCGTCGTCCGCGTCGTCGCTCGCGGTTGTTTCGCTCTCAGTGGTGCTTGTACTTGTTTCGCGCCAGCTTACTTCTGCCACTACTGGCGAGAACGTCACTCCTTTGGATCCAGCAGATACAGAGCGCACGGGCGGCGCTGCGTCTGGAGGGGGTGGCGCTACTAATTGTAGTGACGCACGAAGTTCCTCTGGCGTTTCTCGTTGTGGGGTTGCTCGCGAGCGCAGCTCAGGGGTTGATCTTACTCTAGCATCACAGGATCTTAGTGGCGTTGAAGTGAACGCTGGTTCTCTGATAGGGTCTGGGGATGGCGTTCGTGGTGGGGAGGGGGAGGGTGACGGCCCGTCTATGCGCCGCCGAAGTTCATCTAACACGTCATCCCAGGCGCCCCACGAGTCGTGTAGTCGTCTCGCTGTCATCACTGATAGCTCGCGGTCGTAGTTTTCGCTTTCAGCGAGCGCTCGCCGCGCTGTCTCGTCCAGCCGGCGCGCGGTCGCCTCCATTTCTCTTGCGAAAGCTCGCTCTGATTCGGTGGTAGAATCACTACTGGCGCTGGGTTCCCGCGCCGGGGATTCGGTAGGTTGTCGAACAACCTTTTCGACTGGAGGTGGTTGAGGTGGTACATTTCGGTTCATCCGAGGAGGTGGCGGTGGGGGCGGCAGTCGCGGGCGACGGGGGCCGCCCCTGTAGTCGAGGGCGGTGAGGTCTGCCACGCTGACGGTCAGACTGTCAGATACTTCAAAGGTTTGTCTGAAGCGCGCTCGATGCGCAGCGTGACGTCGCGGTTCGGCGCACACGTCGAGCTCGGCGGGGAGCGAGAGAGCGCGCGCGGCGCGGGGCGGGCGGCGCTCAGCACTGGGCGATGCGACGAGGCAGGGCGCGCTGCCGGCGGCCGAGCGGTGCGCTATTTCGGGCGGGCGGCACACTGCAGGCGGGGGCGGCCGCCGCGACCGTTCACTGTAGCCGCTGTCTTCGCTGAGGTTCTCGGCAGACAGATGGGTGCGTGGTGCTGGAACACGTGTTGGCGGTGGGGAAGGCGGAGGTGACTCCAGGGAGTCGGGCGAGAGGCTCGGTGAGGCGGGTGCTGCACACGATCTCTCCAGGGATTCGAACTGCGCGAGGCTGGAGGAACGCGATAGCGAGCCCGAGCTGGCGGGCGAGGTGGCGCGCTCGCGCCGCCTGCGCTTCGCCGGGCACGCCCACTCGCGCTCCGACTCGCTGTCGCACTCCGACCCTGCTGGAAGAGAACACCGTCAGGAACTGAACACGTCACACTGAAGATTTACTGAAACGCGGCACGTCGCCACGTCCGGACGGCGACAATGACAATGACATCGTATTGAAATCTGTATTCTTTTTACTAGTTGGACTGGTTCCAAGAGATATGTAGGATAACATTCAATGTACTTGCCAAAGCCGGTCTAGACACAATGAAGGACTCGAGTCTAACGTATATATTGACAAAGCGAGTATCTAATGTACTATTACCTTAATACTTAAGTTTTAGTTTAGCGCCATCTATGTTCGGTATTAAAAACTATTTATGTCGTACCTCCTACCAGTAGATCACAGTACTTCTATTACACGATAGATGGCGTTTTAAGCAAGTAAGTTTATACTATTATTGTCTTGTGCTTGACTTTTTCGATATCCCTACTTTTAAAAATATTAACTGGCTATAATTACCTTGAGTCCCTCGCACATGAATGACAGAATCTGCATCTGAATCTGAGAGCCATGTTGCGGCAGAGGAACGTTCAGAGCGCAAATCATCACTCGTTTCCTCGACTATGGTTTCGAGGTATAAAGCGTGAGTGCTGCCATTGTCACCTGTAAATAAAAAAGTATATTAATAAATAGGATTGAGATAAATGAATTAAATAAAATTATTGATGAATATTATGATATTACTTTGTAAATGAAATTCTATGATTGGCTTAGTTTATTCTACTCAATACTAGGTGGCGCTGTAAGTCGATTTCAATAAGTTGATACTATTAAAACTGCGGGCGGTAATTAATTTTTACCGACTTCAAAAAAAGGAGAAGATACTATGTTCAGCTGATTGTTTTTTTTTTGTTTGTATGTATTGTCCAGATAATTATATCGTACATATTTAATTTTTAATTTTCCATCGGAGGATAACAATAATTATAGCTATTTACCGACAACAAAAATATGCAAATTGTGTGAATATTGTAATAAAGAAAAATTGGTAACTTTTTCCATTTTCCATTTTATAGGCGAAAAAAAATTAAACAACAGTAAAACTAAAAGATTACAAAATTAAAACAATACAATGTTATGGTGGAATCATCATTGTGAAGTAAGTAGGTACTTTTAAATAGGAATGCTGAGTATTTTCATGCTCCAATTCCATTCCGCTCAAGTTAAATGGTAGAACCGTTGTAGAACATAAGTTATCATACCTAATGAGTACGTCATAGATAGAGAATAGACAATCTATCGCTATAGTTTCAAATAAACGCAGTTTCATTTTGGTATAGTTAATAAATTGTGGGTTAATTCTCGTTGATCGCATGGTCGCACGTGTGACGATAAGGGGTTTCGGGTTGTGTCCGCGTCAGGCGAAGTATTATTAGTAGTTGCAGAGGGGTTTGGAATTGTAGCAATTGGCGTTCCATAGTCTCTGGCTACCCCATTCGGAGACAGGCGTGAGGTTATGTATGTATGTTTGGAATTGTGCCCTATCTAACCTAATCTACAATTCACTGTCAAAAATTACAATAATAAATAATCTAAAATTTTATTATTGATTTAGTCGTTAATGTACACAATTTGATTAAAATGGCACATAAGGCAAACTTAATGTCATATGGCATTCTCTACCAGTCAACCTTAGGGTTTAAGTAGAAAATCTGTTTAAAATAAGGTACGGAGAATAAACTAACAGCAAAAAGAAAAATATGGTAATTTTTAAATAATATATCTATACATATATTTTACCTACAAAATAGTAAATAGTTTATATAGCCATCTAAAATATGACTAAATGAAAATTAGGTGAAAATTCAACAAATTCACATGTAGATATGATATGCTTATAACAAAGTAGAAAAAGAGGCGTGTTATATGTATAATGCATATGATGATAAGCTATATAATAGTCTGTTGCACTACAATGGAACTTTCTCTCGTTGCCTCATTGATGATGTAACTATTTTGATACAATCTGTTATTCTGAGCACAACACTGTATTAAATATTACTTACGGAGATGTTATTAAAGGAAGCTTCCTACTGCAAATTTTCGCAATAAAAAACAACAAGGAATTGTTGATAGTTGACTGAGTTGACCTCGTTGGCCGAGTGGTCGCTGTGCGAATGCCGGGCAGGGGGTCTCGGATTCGATTCCCGGGTCGTGCAAAGTATTACTGGGTTTTAAACAAATTCTCAGTGGTAGCTCGGAGTCTGGAATCATGCCCGGTATATAGCAATATAGGCTCACTCCCTATTACATGGGACTCATAACATAAATAGTGAAAATTGGGTGTTACATTGACGCTAATAATTTAAAAAAAGCCTGAAATATTCTAATAATACTTTGCTCGAACTAGGACTCGAATCGAAGACTTGGATTGCAGTTGGACTTGCGACCTCTCTAGCTTATTAAAATAGAATGCAGTTTATATATCTATCTATTGAAATAAAAAAGAATTTCCGTTCGACAGTCTCGCTGAAACTTGAGAACGGCTGAACCGATTTGGCTAATTTTGGTCTTGAAATGTTCGTGGTAATTAGGTCTCCGGTAACCTAACTCACACGACGAAACACATCGCAAGCGTTGTTTCACGTCGGTTTTCTGTGAGACTGTATCACTCCGGTCGGGCCGGCCCATTCCTACCGAAGCATGGCTCTCCCGCACTTAAAATTTATTTGTTACACTAAAAGTTTGCCGGCTATTTTATAAAAGTAGTCTGCAGATAGCGCTGCGACGATTACAGTCAAGTCTAGACAATAATCAAAAAACTAGATAGAGTTTAACGAATCAGATTTGTGCTGAAAATGCTAAATTGTTACAGTTAATAGCGTTCTGTAATTGAACAGTTAGCGGTTGCTGCGATCCATTTGTTTCAATTAAATATAATTTAAGAACAATCTTTTTACTCGTCAGCTGCGATTTATGCCCTGTTTATTTTGACGAGCAGACGCCCGAATACTGGAAGACTACTCAGTTTAAGCTATAGGTACTTAAATATCGTGCTATCTCTGTCATTTTACAAAGAATTGGGTTTTTGCCTTAATCAATAATAAATTATTTCGACTGTTCAATACAATAAAATGTTACAAAATAGTAACATAAAAACTGCGTTTAAAAACCGACTTTAAAAAACCATAAACTAATAACAAACAAAAAGCCAAAACTAAAAAGCCAAAAATAACTATTATTGGTACTGATAGGTTATCCATCCACCAACTGATAGGTTACAAGTCGGCGCCATAAGTTCTATACAAAATTATTCAAGGGAACTTAATGTAAAAGGTGAACCTATCACATGTCAACCACGATTCAAAACTTCATGCTATTATGAAGGCTTCTAAAAATGAAAATATCGGACCCATGAATGTAAGAAATGGTTAGTAGGTACCTCCTTGTACATACATCTTGGGTAAATAAAAGGCATTGTATTGTAATTTATCAAGTCAAAGTCAAAGCATTTGTTTCAACTGAACCATAATTTGGTACTTTTGAAACGTTAACAAATCCTTACTAGGTATATAATATTATATTTATCCTTACTAATATTATAAATCTGAAATTGAGTTTGTTTGTTTGTTTGTTCCGCTTTCACGCCGTAACTACTAAACCGATTGCTTTGAATTTTTGCAGACGTAAAGTTAGAAGTCTGGATTAAATAATAGGGTACTTTTTATCCCGGAAAAATTGTATATTCTCGAGAGAAAACGAAATCATTGGTATAGATGGCGCTGTATGTATATGACACAGGCTAGTACAGAAAGAAATAATAGTCTTCCTTAGGAAGTGATGCGCTGCGACGAAGGGTTGGCCTGGTGATCTATGATACAGGTTTTACCTACTACAGACATCAGTCTCAAGTTTATTGTATCTTTATTGTTAATTGATGTTGACAAATAAATTATTATTAGTCTGCCCTTAGTTCACTAAGGTGCGATAAAAGAACTGTTCGAGGTCACAAACCACAATATTTAATTTGTATATTATCTCTTCCACAGTACTCATCACTTTACTGTTACATATAAAAACACCGCATAAAGAATACTGATAAAATTATTAGCTATCGTATTTCGACCTGAATAACTTGAACTCTAAATTCGATACCTAGAAAGATAACGGCTAGGTCGAGCGCACAAATTAAGCGATGTTTTAATCAAACATTTGTGATTATTATAGTTTATGTAATAAGTATTACAAGTTCAATGTTAAGTAGTATCAGAATGTTAATACAACAGTGATACGTTGTTATTTGAGTGCATGTGTACCTGGGAAGATGTCATTTTTTATGGCATAAACCGGCAAACGAGCAGACGGATCACCTGATGGTAAGCAATCGGCGTCGCCCATGGACACCTGGAACACCAGAGGCGTTACAAGTGCGTTACCGGCATTTTGGGGATTAGGAGTTTGAGGGTCGTTGGGGAGATTGGGGAAGGGAAGGGTAATTGGGCCTCCGGTAACCTTACTCACACGACGAAACACAACGCAAGTGTTGCTTCACGTCGGTTTTCTGTGAGGCCGTGGTATCACTCCGGTAGAGCCGGCCCATTCGTGCCAAAGCATGGCTCTCCCACACTTATTTAGGTTACATTTAATGACACTGAAGACTAAAAGACAGAGTACAATACATTCGTTGATTGTTAGCACCCTTATTCTTGCCGTGGGTGTTACCACAGTGGATTAAGGACTACATACTGCTTGGCTTAGAACTTCAAATCACCTTCGAAGCGTACAGAGAGATTGTCATAGCCATGACCATATCGAGGAGGTTCTATATAACTTTAGCCGTGGACTATCGTCGCGGAGAACCTAACGGGTAACCGGGGCTCCGGCTCGACGTGCAGGAGAAGGAACGAGGTGGTTTTTAGTCAGTAAGAGTCTGTCACTCCCTCCCGCCTCACCCAGGCGGGAGCAGTCATTCGATGATTTTCCTCCCCTTAAAAAAAAGCCGTGGACTATTACGGTAGTGTGGTTCAATTTGGCTATTAACACAGTTCATTTGCAACGAGACCCTATTACTTTTTACTAAACATCCAGAACTCTAGACCAGTGGTTCCAGAAGTTATCTGATCTACGACCTATCTAAATCAAGTACCAAGACCCACCTTAAGGGAATTAAACCGTCACCAATATGAAAAACAAACTACAGAACTGTTGGTGAGTGCACCTTTCTACAGACAAACCTCACTAAAAATTCGCTTGTCCATAGTTTGAGAAACCCTGTTGTAGACTGTTATGAATTTTAAAATTGAACATATATCAATATCCGCCGTCCGTTGGCATCATTAGAAAAAACCTAATAAATCTTGCAAGCCTATAAGTGTTCAAGCATTAATATTCAAATGTATGTATGTGCATGTGAAGCCACTCTTCACTAAGCCACATGTCAGGTCGGGGTCAGTGACCGGCAGGTGGTCAGCTGAGCGCTGACAGTCGGCCACGGAACCACGCATGCGTAGTCACTATGTTGGTATTAACACAATATAAACAGCTTTTGGTGTGAACTAAGCAATTTTACATAAAGGTTGGTAATAAATACGTATGTTATGCAAAATGCAACTCTATGCTATTTATTTTGTGTCTTTATTTGATTATTCGATAATTTATGTTCT